GGATCGCAGATATCGCACCAAAATCAATTATTTATAACCATACAAACGGTAAAAACACTCATTCATAGGATGGTAATCTTACATTTTCCAAAACCACCCTAAAATTCAAGTAGAACATATTGTAGATGAAAAAGACCCTTGTATTTTGTTATTAACTACGATCAATTGAATACGAAGACGAAGTAACATAATAACGCAATGGAATGCGTTATACGTATCGGTGAGAGACGCCTTCACAATTTGCACTTTTAAAAGAATAATTGAAGTTCTAAGTGAACATATAACTCGAGTAATATATAGATATAACAGTAGGGCCACTCTGAGTGCTACAAATATGTAATATGATGACTTAAGTAAGCAATGATTTAACTACAGCTTCATAACACAAACTAGGTACTCGGCAAATGCCAATGCACTTTGATGAACTGTAAAAATAGTAAAGACTAATTTAGAAGATAACCATGTTGAATAATTTTATGCTGGATAAGCTCTTATGTGAAGTTGTAAATGCTTTCATAACCATAAGTGATAACTGTTTTAATTAAAGTCAGTTTGGATATAGTGCACAATAATTTTGTGAAATTGTTCTAAGAGAAATATAATACTTGCATGACCTTAAGAATTTCAATAATCATACATGTAATTTAAGGTAAATTATGAGACACCTACCATGGCTTTCAAAATGGGATGGTTACCTGTAATAATGTTTGTTATATGCCTTTCAAATCCATTTGAAACATGATCTGTGATGTATTACCAAAATTCTTCCATCTAATGCTGTAGTATAGTGTTAAACAATTGCCATAGCTCCATGTATTTTTTTTTTTTTTGTACAAGAGACTACTGCCAGACAGGCTTTTGATATGTGCTTACATTGTTTTCAAATCAGGGAGGCTTACAAATTCTGTCTTGCCAGAATATATGTCAAAATTTGTTGAGCTTTACCGGAGCACCAAAGGTATTGAGGCCAGTAGCGGACATGTGGTTGTCTTGTCAACTTTTACAATATAATTGATAATGATTATTATTTTCTCTAATGTAGATAAAGAGGCAATAATGACAATATTGGTACTGATTTGTGGTAGTAATCGGTAAGATGGCAAAAGTTAATTTACCTGTAATGTTTTCCGTTCTGATATGATTTTATCTCCCTTATTTTTCTGTCCTTTGGGCACTTGCTATTTGATGTTGTGGTACACAGGGTTGAAAACCACCAGAAATTGTAATTTCTAATAATTTTTCAATGTTACAGATACTTGACTAATATTTTTAGAATATATGTACACTCTAAGCTCTAGTTTTCCTGTCATATAAGTCTGATAGTTGTAATAATAATGATAATTATTATCCTTATCATTATCATTGTTAGTGTTATTCTTGTTATTATTATTCTAGTTATTAATGTTATTAAAAATGTTATTATTATTTTTATTGTTATTGTTGTTAATATTATTATTATTATTATTATTATTATTATTATTATTATTATTATTATTATTATTATTATTATTATTATTATTATTATTATTATTACTATTCATTGTTTTTATTATTATTATTATTATTATTATTATTATTATTATTATTATTATTATTATTATTATTATTATTATTATTATTATTATTATTGTTATTATTGTTATGATTATTGCTATTATTAAATTATTATTCTTTTCTTATCTTCATCATCATCATTATCATTAACATTATTATTATTATTATTATTGTTATTGTTATTATATTATATTTTTTAATTAGATTTATTTATTTATTTTTTATTATTGTTATTTAATCAGTTAAATTATTGCATTTTTATAGATAGTTTTTTTTTTAAGAATATGAAGGTAATCTTATCTTCATTTATTACAGGCTGAAAGAATAACAATGGATGATGAACCCAAAATGCAACCTGTTTAGTAGATATGTATGCATCTTGAAGAAAACTTGAAATCTTGGAAACATCATGGAAAGGAGAAGCAAACATGACGACCCAACTGTGGGTTCTAAAGCACAGGTGAAAGACTTGCTGACCCACATGGACCCGATGATATATTTAGCAGGGACAGCTGACAACACTTCAGAGATGTTATCCTATTTGGCTGATATGGATCCCGCCTTCCACAAACTGGAACTGGTCAAGAGCTTGCGAAAGTTTATGCGAGAGAATCTTAGTACAAATATTGAGAAGTATGTTGATGATTATTTGCAAGAACAGAAAGGAAAAATGAGATCTGAGAATCCAGTAGATAGTCTTGTTGAGAGAGTAACCTCAAGTGAAGAATTTCCAGCTATTGTAACTAATATCAAGGAAAACCTCGAAACTTCAGTACAAGATATTACAAACCACTTTGATGATGAAATAGTTACAGGGATATTTGCAGAGGAAGAGGATGAACTAGCATACAATGTTAGTCCAAATGGATCCAGTGAATCATCTCTCAACTCTTCTCTAAACCAGTCTGGTTTGCTGTTCTTACATCCAGCTCAGTATCATAACATT